TTATATTGCTGCTAGAAAGCTCATGAATTCTTCCAGTGTGTTGGTTGCCATTTGTATTTTACCATAGATATTAAATGACAGGGATTGGAAACGGAAGCGTCGGCGTAGCCCAACCTCCATTCATTTGTATTGCATTGCTGCTAGGCTGACAGAGGCTCGTTGAAATTTTTTGTCACAATTTACCATTGATTTTTTTTCTCTTAGAAACAATATCTCGCGAACAAGTGTTCCTATGCAAGTGGAATTAATGCATCAAGAAGCCTAATGTTTCCTCTTAATAATTCTGCTTTCTATTGTATAGATAATTTTACTATGTTCATGTTATGGCTCTTTTAAAACCATAAAATGTATTTTTTGTCATTATAATCCCTTTTTTGAAAACAAGCTTGAGTAAGATACAAGATCTTTATAATCATATGAAAGAGCTTTCATTTGCATATCGAATGATACTAGTTAGGGTTAGAATCCATGAAGCATGAGTTTGTTACAACAGAAAAAGGGCGAAAAATGAAAAAAATTTGTTGTACCTATAACTCGTTGCAAAATAGCGTTGTAGATGTAAAAACCTTGCTGCAGGTAGTCCTAAACTTTCTATATGGAACGGTAGGTATATCATAAGTAAGCGTCCTCTTGGATTTCCATAAATATCCTTCGAAGTCCTTGCAGCACAGCCTCACTAATGGAGGAGATGGGAAATCGACCAGGTATTGGGCCGGTAACCAATAGCAACATCAACTAGCCTACGCCCCCGTTTCCAATCCCTTTCATTTACTCTATCATCTATGATTTTACTGTGACCGGCTGACCGCTCCCACTTTCAATGAAAAATTGAAAATTGCATTGGTAATGCATAGTATCTATCTACCGTATTAGATCTACGCATAAATAGGGGTGACGTACGAGGACAGACAGACAGAAGGGGCGTGACTGAGAGTATAGCTAGAGTGGGGCGAGCTCAGGCTCGCCCCAATCAAGTTATGGCCATAGTTTAAAAATATGCCAAAATCAGAAAAATGCTTTTTTCAAAAAATGGCTAAAAAATCACACCAATATTTATTACATTTTCTGATACATATTCACATTATAATGGTGTTTAGAAATTAAGTTTGAGCTGATTCCGACTTAAATTATTTTAGTTACAGCTATTTTAAGAAATAGGCCAAAATCTGAAAAATACAATTGTAATTGTATTGAGACTGGATTCACAGGAGAGCTATGTGAGAAGTTGATATTAACGAATGCAGTGATGGTACTAATACATGCTATGAGGGTAGCACCTGTGTTAATACTGATGGTGGGTATATGTGTACTTGTCCTAGTGGAGTAACTGGCCTTTATTGTGATATTGATATCAACGAGTGTGTTGAAGGTGATTATGGCTGTACTCAAGGCTCTACCTGTTTAAATATATTTGGTGGTTTCGTGTGCTTGTGTCCAGCTGGTTTCAATGGCTCCCAATGCAACGAGGACATCAACGAGTGTCTCTCCCTTCCCCTCCCTTGCACTGGTACTGGTAACTGTACTAATACTATCGGTAACTACACCTGTTCCTGTTATCCCGGCTTTACAGGCACTAGATGTGAGAGTGATCTCAATGAGTGTGATACTACAGTCCCTATATGTAACACTGGTACTTGTATGAATATACATGGTAGCTACTCTTGTATGTGCTCACCAGGCACTACAGGAGATCACTGTCAAACTGATATTGATGAATGCGCTGAGACTAATACAACTATTTGTAATAATGGAATGTGTCAGAATGAGTTTGGTGGTTACACTTGTAATTGTTTCAGAGGTTATACTGGAGTGGATTGCCTTATTGCGGAGCCTATTGACGATGATGAAGAGACCTCTCATCTCTCTATTATAATATTAGCTGTTGTTGTTTTTGTGTTGTTGTTGTTTCTTGTTGTTGTTGTTGTTGTCGTTGGTCTGAGGATTGTAAGGAGGAAGAGTAGGAGAAAAGGGTTTTATTCACCAGCTGCTGTTGAGAGGGAGTCTGAAGGAACAGTTGGCCAACGTACTGATAGAGAAAGACTATTATAACATTAATAATTATTGATATTTGTCATTAATTTTCTCTTAACACAGCATCATAATTATTGTTACTTTTTATTATAATCTATAAACCTTGCAGATAAATTTGCTAAAATCATTTAGCAGGACAAGCAATTATGTACTACAAATTTTATGCATGCATTGACAATCTATACTCTCCCACTACTTGACAATTGTGATAGTACATTTTAGCTTTATTGTAGTGAATGGTGTGTTCACTGCGTTGAATTTTTCAGTTATTTCAATCAAGGTGATATCAAAGATAGAGTATACAACCACAGAATGAGTCAGCTAGTACATGATGACACCTGCAATAGTACAATTGACATAAAGAGACCTTTTATTTATTGTATCTTAATGTATAATCCTTAAACAGTTGAGACTTGTGATTGCTGTCAGTGTTATAATGATTCATGCATGCAGGTATAAGAACTCCTTTAATTCTGATCTTCCATTTCATGTACTAAACATAGCCTTGTATTGGTGTCTTCCATCAACAACAATATATATGCCTTTATATGCACATTTTACGTTTCCTATAAACTGTCACAATAAGTTAATCAAGGCTGGGAATGCCAGGAAGATAGAGGCACTCACTACCACTCAGCATTAAGTTTTTACAAAGAAAGATTAGGAAAAATTAAGGTTGTATTTACCAGCTACTCCAGTCAACTACTCAGTATAGAAGCAATTAGAAAATAGTCTTTCTCATCTACTACTGATAGAGAAAATAATCTACAATAATAATAATCTAATTATTATCTGTACAATAATCTATGCGTACGGTGTAATTAAAATAATTTTGATGTTATTCAAATAACAATTAATGTAAACAATAATAATAATAATTTGCAAACAGAGATAAAGGGTAATAATAATAATGATAATAATAACAGTAATAATAATAAGGAGAGGGGAAGAAAGAGTGAAATAGAAGGACAGAAAAAACCACAAAAAACAAAAATAAGCAAAACGAAAACAAGATCCCATAACAGACATGGCATACATTATAGCTAATTAACAAAAAAGCAAGCATCAGCAAAAATAATTAGTAGAATGATAATACTATAGGCACGTCATCTGCTAACTTGTAAATTAAGTTAAAATATTATACTTCACAATGTTTATCTCTAATGTTAGTAGCAATGTCATGTTTTCCTTCTTTATCCAGTGCTGTAGCTAATGATGACCAACTGGGACCTCCTTTCTCTCTCACTTTATCTTCTCCTCTTAACCAGGCAGACATACACTCTCTGAAGCACTTCTTAGAGTCTCCATTATCTTTGTTGATGTCTTCTAGTGTAGACTGATAGAGTCCTAGATGAAGACCAAGCTCATGCCATATATGGCAAGGTAGATGATTGAGTATTGTTAGCTCTTCAATTACAATATCAAGATCTTTAATATCTATAAAAATAATAATTAATAATGTGTATATACACTGTACAGTCTACACTCCCACTACTTGACAATTGTGATAGTACATATTATAACATACCTAGCTTTATTGGAGTCAATGATGGTGTCTTGAATTCTAGATGACTGAGTATTGTTAGCTCTTCAATTACAATATCAAGATCTTTAATATCTATAAAAATAATAATTAATAATGTGTATATACACTGTACAGTCTACACTCCCACTACTTGACAATTGTGATAGTACATATTATAACATACCTAGCTTTATTGGAGTCAATGATGGTGTCTTGAATTCTTCAGTTATTTCAATCACTTCCTATACAATAATAATAATAATAATAATAATAATAATAATAATAATAATAATAATAATAACTGATATTTGTCACTATGCTTGTTTATCAAGGTGATATACATCAGTAGTGTATTGCTGAAAGGTGAGTTTAACAGATGTACAAGTATATATTATTAGTAGTAAAAGCCACACAATGACAACCCACAATTATGACAAAGACTGAGTAATTGATAAGAAATAAAGATATGACCTTTTGATTATTAGTGCTTGTATTAATGTATCAAACAGTTTGTGTGTGTTAATTCTTACCTTAATATCACGTCCTCCTAATAGTGACAGGTTACTAATATCTGATAATGATTCATCAGCTAGGATCTCCTTCAATCCTGTACGTCTAGTACCAGTAGCACTTACTAAAAACTCTTCTCTCTTGACAATAGCAGAAATTGCATCTTTTACACTATACACTGTCCTTTCTCTTGGTGTATTCACAGGATAGTCTAGTTCTTTAAGATCAATAACTAGCTCTTTTACCTTTAGACTGGGACAGGATTCTTTATAAACACTCATTACCTTTCCTATCACATCTCTTCTTAGAGACACCATATTGTCACTGTAACCTTTCTCACAGGACATCATTACTAGTACACACTGGCTCTCATCCACAATCTCTACCAGTGATTCTACACCATGGCCATTAAACCAATGAAGACCATTCTTCCAAAATGTACAACGTCGCTTTAACTTTTCATCTTCTTGGGGAAGAGCCAATTTATAAGCAAGATGTAATGAGAGGACGTGGAAGTATCGAGGAGGAAAGAAATGATGTTTACTAGTACACTGTAGACACCAACCGAACTGGTACACTTGACTAGTCATCTCATCAGGTCTATCAGTAGACAAAAGACATGGAAAGTGCAACAACCTTTCTGCTTTTTTTTCTGTCCCTCCCTCCTCCTCCTTTTCCACTGCTAACTGATGGAGGTTTGTCATTCTTAAAAATGATGGATTGATTTCTTCACAGAGTTCCATGTTCTTTAGAAAACGAATCAACATGTCAGGATCATATTTAGGGAAGAGTCTAATCAGACCAGACACACTAACAACACCAGTATTGCTAGCAATGTCAACGTGTTCTTCAAATGTCTCTGGAGCAAAGAGAATCCCATCTACCTCAGTTAGTAGTATACCCTTATTCACAACAACCCATACCTTGTCTTTACTTTTAAGAAAACAGATCAAACCAGTTGAGTGCAACGAATGAAGAACATCCAAGACTTCTCTCTTATCTGGTATAAAATAATCATCATTGTCCTCACCAGCAGACATTACATCAGAGAGGGTCAGTATATTTTCTTTCCTTTCCTCCAGTAGACCATACATCATGTGACAATAAAGACTCAAATTCTTTCCACTTGTACTACGAATGGACTCACAGGCACTAGACAACTTTTTAAAGAAGGACTCCACACCACTCCCACCAAGCTTGCGACAATCTAAGAAGATACTATCACACCTTTTCCTTACAATAATCTTCTGTATTTCTTCCTTTCTCCTCCTTTCAACAGAATCACTTATCTCATCCACATGACTGACTATTACAATAACATGGCATTCATTAAGAGCTTTCTGTGCTTCATTTCTCACAACTGTTAGCCACTGATGAAGCTGTTTGACTGCTTCCTTCTCCAATATATTGACTACTATCAGGAACACACCACCAGAACCTTGTAACAGATTCTCAATGACAGCACTGTGACTGGAGTAGTATTCTGAATGACCAGCAAAATCATGAAGAATGATGTTACCCAGTGTCCTGTGCTTTAGTTTATAAGGAATGATGCCAGCAGTACGGGGCACTACCCCTCCAACATTTCTAAAGGAACCAAGAAGAGTAAAACTAGCTGCTGTTTCGTTGATGACATGACTAAGAGTACTTTTACCAGCTCCAGGATTACCCACAAGGAGGACATTAACATAAGAATCAATTGGATGAGATGATTTTATACCACTAAACTTCTTCATGACAGAAAGAGTATTAGTGTGACCTCTCTTCTTAGCTAGTTTAAATGGTGTGTCCCCATAATTGTCTTTAGCCAATGGATCACATTTACCAGTTGATAGTAAATATTCAACAACTGTGGGACTACCCCAATAAGTAGCGATGTGAAGAGGTGTCCGCCTGTCCCCGTCAACAGTCATTGAATCACAGTGGCCCTCATCAATGAGATATCTCATCACATCAACACGATTATATCGTGCAGCCCAAAGAAGACAAGTCCAACCATCACTATCTCTTTCGTGTGGATCACAGTGATATTTAGTGATGAGATCTTTTGTAACATCTAACCAGCCATGCTTTGAAGACAAATGAAGTAAATTAGTATTACTCCATTCTATGTATGTTCTTCTAATTTCATTCGGTTCCTTCACTAATGGTAGTAAGCGAACAGCTTCGTCACGATGTTTTTTCTCAAACGCATCCCAACACTTGTACTCTAACGACATCTTGTGAACAGTTAATTGGGGCGAGCCGAGCCTGAGCTCGCCCCACGGCCACTAAGGCGAGAAATAAATCAAATAAGGCGAGAAAACGCTATTACCTAGTCTCGCGTAGCCAGCCCCTCCCTCAACGGGAGGGTCTGCATCTGGTCGAATGAGTGTACATCATTCGTTCTCCGTGATTAATTAAATTAGTCCGTATTATGTTTGTTCACCACCGCATACTTTATGCAACACGTGGTTAAATATCTGCTATCTGTTGTTGGCGAGGCTGTTGGAGAGAGCAGGCTACAATTTTTGTCTGGATGGCTAAACAGCTTCTCTTCTGCTTCTTTTCTCTGCGTTAGTGCCAGAGTTTTTAGCTTGAATAAGAGCATCTCATGTACCACGAGGATTAAGGTAACGCCTACTACAACCACATCCGGTTCACCCTGTTTTGGGGTGAAGTAGAACGAACGATCTACACTCATTCGACCAGACCCTCCCGTTGAGGGAGGGGCTGGCTACGCGAGACTACTATTACCGGTATTACAGTTCTACCATAGATACTACATACACACATGGATATGAAACAGGAAGTCGGTATCCAATTAACTCTTTGAAGTTCACCTGTAAACGTCATAACCAGCATAGCTCTATCCTTGGCGCTTTTCTCTCTGTCTATGTTTTCAAGAATTTTCTTGACTCACTTATTTTTGTGAAAGAAGGTATATAGGTCTTTTGTTTTGTTCAGTAGACCTAATAAATATATTCTCATTTCATTTTGTCAACAGGCCTCATGTTTACATGACAAAATTAGAAGACCTCCATTTTTATTTGTAACCACCTTTTCTAGACTCTCGAACGGAGTTAGCTAGTAAGTCTTGGAATCATAATAGTGTATTGTTTGTTACATGGACTGAAACTATTCTCGTGTCAATGTAATGAGAAATGACTGAGATAATAGCCAAAAACTAGTTTTTTTAATGTTAATTTTGTAACCACCTTTTTGAGACTTCTGCACCAGGTATGAACAAGTTACTACTTTGAGTGTATTCATTAAGGCCTCTTATATAGACTGTTTATAGTTTCATTTTTCTAGATGCTATGTTTCAAAAGTAATAATATATTTTTTGCAAGTGTTTCAAAGGGTGTGGTTTAATTTTTAGTGAGAACTGAGTAGTGAAAGAATAGGTTATTTACCAAGAAACACAAGCAGGATTTCAGTGGCATTGATGAGACATTGTTACATGATTATAAAGCTTCATATTTATGCTACCACAGAGAACTATCAAGATAGAGATGATGTACATTACAGTATGTACTGTATGGTGACACAGTAAGTGCGGCTTATAATAATTGTTGTCAATGTTTTTATTGCTATTTTTATAGTTAAAATTTGTTGAAGGACTCATAATAATAATCAATCTATTGGGTCACTGAAGAATAGAATAATCATTATAATGATAATAATTTAAATAATAATTTTTTTAGTACTTAGCACAGTGCATTCTTTCTTGTGATAGTAGATCTTCACTTTTTAGAACTAGAATATCGATTGCAACTCTTATATAGTCGTAGACCTGAGCTTTAGTAAGTAATTCAACTGGATTTCTTCACTATTTTGCTTGTGCCATGCTTATACACGTGTAGTGTAAACGTCACAATACATCACTTCCGGTGCCAAGGATCGAGCGCATCCTGTTTCATAATCCATGTGTGTATGTAGTATCTATGGTTCTACCATGCCACCTTGAAATTGACCAATCAGATTGCAGTATAGAGGATATGCGTGCTAAGTATATTCATAGCTTTTAAGGCCTGGTTTACACGATGACGCTAGCCTAATCTGCATCGTTTTTGCTATTACTGTTTTCAGGTGTTTACACTAATCCAGCAGCTGCGTTTTTATTGGACTTTATCATTCGTTTATAGAGTTATCCGTTTTGGTATTCGTTTTTCTTTTGTTCGGATTTGATATGCGTTTTCTTGTGTTTTAGGCCTCGTTTACACGACGACGTGTTTCATTTTTATACGTATTAATATTATCTGTATACTACCGTTTACACCTAGGGGTTAAATCATGGTTAAATTTTAATTAATATTCACGATCTATTAATTATTAACCGTTACCGTGGTAATGCATAGCAACGCGTCTTAAGCTGAGCAGATGAACAATAGTCAATGATGCCAAGATGTGGTAGCTTTCAGTGGACTGATGAAGAAGTCCAACTGCTCCTTCATGTTACCCAAGAGTACAAAGTATCTAAAGCTGCTGAAAGTATTGATTGGGAGTCCATCAAAACTAAATACGAAGAAATTACACAAAGATTTCTGCAAAGCCTACCACCAGATACTCGGGCCAGCAAACAGGGTCAGATTTCCTCACAAAGCAGAGCAAATCACTAAAAGTATTATAAGCACAAAACTGAAAGCCATCAGGACAAATTATCGCCATGCAGTTGAGTCTGGCAGTTAGTGTTGTTCCAGTTCTTCGGAACTAGAACTAGAATGGCTTAAAGTACAGGTTTTTATTTTTAGTTCCTGTTCTATAGACTGGAACTAAAAATATTTGTATTACAGTTAACTAGAACTATGTACTCATATTATTTAATTTACCCTACATTTACTGGAACTAGAACTAGAACTTAAATAAAATTATAACAGGTACTTTAACTTATACTGGAACTAAAATGGTCTAAGAACTAAAATACTATATAGGAAGTAGGATGTCACTGTCTATTGCTTCGCAAGAATATAGACTACTTGTAAACAATACTAAACTTTATTGCTATAAGCAAAAGCTTGTGTTTGGTATTGTTGTTTTTGTTTGAACTACAACCAAAACTATAAATGAACTGGAACTAAAATTAAGTACTGAAAATCAAAAGGACTAAGTACTGGAACTATATACCGGAACTGAAATTTAAAAAGCCTATAGTACTGGAACTAAACTAGAACTAAAACTTTAGCCATTATGGAATACTGAAACTAGTACTAGAACTAAAATTATTTTACTAAGAAGTAGGTAACTAGAACTGAAATTAAAAGTAATTTCAGTGGAACTAAACTAGAACTGAAATGAAAAAGTCATACTGGAACAACATTACTGGCAGTCGTAGTGGGCATGGTAGAGTAGTATATGTGTACTTTGAATTATGTGAAGCAGTGTGGGGTGGATCACCAGCTACATGCGAAATCGATACTGGTGTAGAAAGTGGAGAGATTGCTGTGGTCGACAGCAACACTCTGCCTTCTAATACTGATGCATGTGATACTTCTCAGGCTGATGGTCACGGTGATGAAGTAGAAGCTGCTGCAGCATCACTGCCTCCGCAATGTGATAGTGTATCATTTTCAGTGGTACAGCAAAGGAGGAATCTTCTCAATGACAAATTAGCCACATATAGACAGCAAAAGCTTAAAAGAAAAATACCTACCGATATTCAGCTTCTTGAATGTGCTAAGGAGGACATTAAGATTAAACGTCAGTTAATAGAGCACATGGAAAAGGTGGACAGTGATTACAAAGAGAACATTACAGTACTTACAAGGAATGTTGAAAAATTGACAGAGTCAATTTCAGAAGGGTTTTCTTTGTTCAGGAATGTACTTTGTGCTCGTAGTAGTATGCCATATATGCAGCCACAATATCATTCAATGTACTCACCTCAATCAGCTGCAGCATACCCAACAATGATGGCATCAATATCTCAAGATAGCATAGACTAATTTAGTAATGTAATATAAAGTTAACAGTTAACTGTATAATAAATAATATGATTATTATTATGCATGTGTATTATTATGTGCTATTATTATTGACTATATGATTATTATTGTATAATATAATACTGATTATTATTATGAGACTATTATGCAGTATTGTATAGTTTTATGGATCAAAGTATTTAGTAAGTATATTCCTTATTTTTTCCCTTCAGCTTCACTTTTATTAGCAATCATTCTTACCGGCTCCATTGTAGGTTGAAATTCTCTTTCATACTCTATAGTGCTTCGTACCAAATCATCCTGAACATTTTCATTTCTTGACTCACAAAAATTGTGTAATACAAAGCATGCATAAATAACACTCGGTAGATCCTCTAAATTGGTGTCCATGGCTCTCTTTAGACACGCAAATCTTGCTTTCAGCCTTCCAAAGCTACATTCAATTACATTGCGAGCACTACACAGCTTGTATCCAAAGTATTGCTCATGTACAGTTGCTCCACCACCAGTATATTCTTTCATTACATATGGCATCAGAGGATAAGCAGGGTCACCTATAATAAAAATTGGAATTGGATCTTCATTTTCCACGAGTTGAACTTTGCATGATGGTATTGTTTCATCTCTTAGCATATTGTTAAGCTTAGAGTTTGCAAAGACACGAGCATCATGAACACTCCCTGGCCATTTTATTACAACGTCAATAAACTGATATCTGTAGTCACAACAAGCTTGAATATTAAGACTGAATTTAGACTTCCTATTTATGTAATCAGTAGGGTTTCTTCTTGGTGCCTTAATTTCAATATGTGTACCATCAACTGTGCCTATGCACTGAGGGAAACCAAATGCTTTAAAAAAACCAACTGTTTTTTCCTTCACATCATTTGCAGTTAATGGAAGTGAAATATACTTAGGGCCTAAATATTGAGTAATTGCTGATGTGACTAGTCGAACAATAATTGATACTGTTGACCTAGAAACTCCAAAGGAATTAGCTGTCTTCCTCATTCTACCCTCATCTGATAAGTAATACAGTGTGATAGCCACTTGTTTTTCAACACTAGTTGATGGTCTCATTACAGTGTCTTGTCTCTCAATATAGGTTCTCAGTTCATCGCACAGTTGGTGAAAGCTATTTCTACTCATTCTAAAATTCTCCTTCCATTCTTCACTAATGACAACACCAGACAAGAAGTTATCCCACCAGAGACTACTCCTACCTGGTCTGACCCAAAATCTTCTTGAGCAGTGGCCTGATCGTCGATCGTCTTCGTCCCTGACTGCATAATTTACAATCAGGTAAGGTTAAATAATGTAGCATCCTTTTCTTTTTAGATAAGTATAGCTTATTTGTGACCTGAATCAGCAGCAGAAACACTTGTTGCAGTGATATCAAGTATATCAGAATTGAGGAAAGCCCAACAAGTGTGGCAACATCTTTTTCTTCATCCATTATCATTAAACTATAGTTGAAAAAATATCATTGCTTTCACATATATAGATCTAATAGTATTGCATGCACAGTCTTACCATCTATCACTGAAAAGGTTTAGTTTTAATAGTTTTCACACACCTGTAGTTCTGCAAGAAGAGACCGCCAAATAACAGAGCGCTTGCGCTGGACACGCCCCTTTCAATCGTTTTATATGTTTACACGAGCGAATAAACTGGCCCGTTTGTGTTT